CTTCCTTCCTTCCTTCCTTCCTTCCTTCCTTCCTTCCTTCCTTCCTTTCTAGGGCTAGAAACCAGGGTCTGGCATGTGCTAGGGAAGTGCTCTGCCACTCCTCAGCCCCAGATACAATCCTCAGAGAGGATTTGATTTTATTTGGCTGAAAGCCATTACAAAACTTACAGTGGTCCTCCCAGTAGATTAGCATGAACTTCTAAGTATGAAGATACTATGTTTCAACTCCTCAGTCTATACCCAAAGGACTTAAAATCAGCACACTATAAGAACAAAGCCACATCAATGTTTATAGCAGCTCAACTATGGAACCAACCTAAGTATCCTTCAACAGATGAATGGATAAAGAAAATGTGGTATATATACACAATGGAGTATTACCCAGACTTAAAGAAGAATGAAATGATGGCATTTGCAGGTAAATGGATAGAGGTGGAGAATATCATACTAAGTGGAATAAGCCAATCTCAAAAAACCAAAGGCTGAATGTTTTCTCTGATATGAGGACGCTAATTCACAATAAAGGGGGTAGTTAGGGAAAAATAGAGTTACTTTGGATTAGGCATAAGGGAGTGAAGGGACAGGAGGGAGTTTGGGGGAAGGAAGGATAGTAGAATAAATTGGACATTGATACCCTATGTGCATATATAACTACACAAACGGTGTGATTCTATATCATGAACAACAAGAAGAATGAAAAGTTATACTCCATTTATGTATGATGTATCAAAGTGCATTCTGCTGTCATGTATAACTAATTAGAACAAATTCTAAAACGGTAATTTCATAAAGCAACTATTAGTAAAATCATTACTTAGTGTTCAACAGCAGTGTCCAAAGCAAATTTAGCTGTGTTTTCTTCCAAGGGTTTAAAACTAAAGGGCTGGGGTTGTAGCTCAGTGGTAGACCACTTGCCTAGCAGGGTGAGGCCCTGGGTTTGAGCGCTGGGTTTCTCAGCATCACATAAAAAACAAATAAATAAAAAATAAATAGATTCTTTTAAAAAAAAGAGTTTAAAAATAAAGTTCTGACTATCTGGGTCACATGATAAGTAACATACTATTTCTAGAATCAAGATAGAATGAGAAGATATAATTATCACAAAGAATTTTTTATAGAGATCTATATATAAGAATGGAAAATAGACACACTGTGGAATATGGTTTAGATCAGAGACTCCGCAAACATGGGTTGGTTATCTTTCTTTAGGACCAGAAAAATCTATAAGTGGACACACATAGAGAATTGAGAATTTATGATACATGGAGCTGAGCAGAGTGTTAACACATGATCAATTTGTAACATAGTCAACTTATTAGAACATATTGATCACTGATCTACTCTGCAAGTGATAAATCTGTGACTGCTTTAGAAATAGCTTGTGAGGGCTGGGGTTGTGGCTAAGCGATACAGCGCTCACCTATCATGTATGAGGCTCTGGTTTCGATCCTCAGCACCACATAGAAATAAAGGTATTGTGTCCAACTACAACTTGAAAACTTAAACACAGAGAGAGAGGGAGAGAGAGAGAGAGTAAGAAACAAACACACACAGTGTATCTATTTTTTTTTTTAACTTTTTTATTTTGGGGACAAGGGATTCATCCCAAGAGTGCTTAACCACTGAGTCACATCCCCAGTCCTTTTTATTTTTTATTTTGAGATAGGGCCTCACTGATCCCCCTGCTTCAGCCTCCCAAAGTGCTAGGATTACAGGCATGCACCACCACACCCAGCTG